GTTTCTCTCCCGCGAGTCACTTTTGGCCCGCGATCACCGATTTGACTGTGTGTGATCCGACCCTCCCGTCCTTTGCATCCGTCCGCCGCCGTCGCCGTCCCTTTCGCGACACCCACGTCCGCCCGCCCGGCGACACCCACGCGGATGGCTGCAGCTCCGTAACGACAAAATCCTCGCCGTCGTCCGCCGCGGCTGACATCATCAATGTCCACTGTACCTCTCTGTACTCGATAACGTCAGTAGTGTCCGCCTGACGCCTTCTGACGCTGAGCTCCCGCACGCTGCTGTATCTGCTCTACCCGTTGCTAAATGCCCGGCCTCTCGTACAACGGGGCCCTATACCGTACACGAGGGACAAGCGGGGTCAGCATGTTCGCGGAAATGCCGCAGCGTGTCATGCTCGACGCCGCGCCGCCGTAATGTTATACGGACAATACAACCACGCCAGGCCACGACGGCTTTGTTCAGCATAGCTTAAAGGACGTGGCCAATTGGACCATTCCCACCAGGTACCAGAAACTTGGTCCTTGCACAACCAAGGACGTCTACAGTACGAGTGAGCCGCTTTTCTTCAAGCTAGTTGCGCGACGTCTCACATACCGATTGCTCGACCAACGCATGTGCAGTATTCTCCATCTGGCAGCCAGTCAACCATCCAACCGTCAGCAACCACCTCCGGGAGGCCGCATCCCCTAACTGTACATGCATATTAAAACTACTCTTCTCTGTAGTACAGCACTGTATTCGAACTGCACTCCCCTACCGCGAAACCAAGTCGAGGACAACGGCACCACTGTGCAGTAAACAAAAAAAGTCTTCAAAAACACCGCCACGCACCAGCGCCGTTCATTTACTTTCCAGGTTAGTCAATATAAGTTTTTAGAGCTATACAAATGTACACACATCATCCACACCGCCATGTCATTCCAACGTCCTCCATTATGTCCCCCAGTAGGTTACCGACTTTCTGCGCGTCTTCTTCTTGCTGTTCCCTCCGTACCGTTCCATCCAATCAACTGGTATGCTCATTTCCGCTTCTGAAGCCAACACGGGCCTCCCGCGCGGACCTTCGTCTGCCCCCGTCATCACCGCTTCGAAGTTGCGGATCACCTCAGGGTTTTCTAGCTTGCTTTCAATTGCCTTGAGCATGCCCCCTACAATCCCGATAGTAGCTTCCACTTTGCGACCTTCTCCGCGGCGGCTGAAATCACGCAACTCGAACCCGTCAACTTCCTTTGCACCGGGGAGCCCTTGGATCAGGTACACAATTGTTGACTCGTACAGACCAAAACGCTCAGGAGCAGATGATAAACCGATTCGCTCACCCACTGCTACGTCTTTCGCATACTGATTCACAATTCGCAACCACAGCGCGTACATATTCGTGCTCTTCCCAACCACTTTCCTGCCTTCCCACATGTACTCCACATCTTGAGCCATGGAGTTAAAGCCCTGAAGCTCGCTCACTTGGAATACCGGCTTTAAACCGTCTTCAGATTCCAAAATCTCATTCAGGAACACATAATGCCCTAACTGCCGAATAGTCTTAAACCCGGCGGGATACACAATTCCGTTTCGGCAAAACGCTGGCGCGTTCTTTCGAATTTCTCCCAGCTCAATTAGAAACAGCCCATCCCCTAGGTCTTTAGGCAAACAGAGTCGCCCATCACTATCTCGCTTGATGTCCACAATCGTCGGCCTTAACGTCCGAGGTCTTCCTGTCGGAGCAGAAGGGTACAGTGCTTCTACCTTCCTCTTCAGTTTCCCAGCCTCATCAACGCCGCGACGAAGAAGTGAAAAATTCGGTTTTTCCTCCACGGGTTCCAATTTCACTTCTGCCTTCTCTTCCTTGGCAGTAGGGGCCGCCTGAGAAAGGGATTCCCCGTTGCCAACCCCCATATCGTCATCGCGCGTGTACTGCTCAAAGTGCGGGTCATTCGCCCGGGAGCAGAAATACCTCACGAGCGCGAAAGCACGCTTGATACCAGACGCCGGCTTAGGCATCGCCGCCCTTTTCAACGACTTGACGTCGTTTCCATTTTTCCGCTGCCAAGCCTTCATTGAGCTTGCAAATTGCAACTCACTATCAACAGCCATATAGTCCCACCCGTTCAACCCGTGCCTATCTACTCCAAGCAACAGAGAACGGTCGTGGCAGCTCTTCCACCACAGCGGTAGGTCTCTTGTCTTCTTGAAACCTCGCAGGATCGAGTTGAGCTTCTTGTGGGTAAGGACTTCACCACGCAAGACTCGGAAAAACTGAAGTCGCTCGATCAACCGCTCTGCACGCTCAACTGTTAGCGTGCTGAAGACAGTAGACGCCTTCTTGCCTTCGTTGATACGGTCCACCCGTTCGTAGTCCTCTTCCTCCTTTGCTGCGGCAAGATTGGAGATGCGGTGAGCTTCCCCAAGCAGCTCCAAGTAAGCAGCTTCAAGAGTTTCCTCATACTTTTGCTCGAATGCGTCAACTTTTGTATTGAACCAATCCCAGTCAACCGACCTACCGTCTGACTCGTATTCAACCCCAAAGTTGGCGAGCGCTCTTTCAAACTCAACCGCTTCTTTCTTGGAAAACGGCTGTGATCTTGCAACTCGACGTGCTGCACGTTGGCGAATCCTCTGTAATTCCTTTGCGGCCTTCCTTGCAACGAGGTCATCCCTCCTCTGCTTGGCTCTTGAAGCAGCGAGTTTCTTCTTCTTCAACTCCCTTTGATCCCGGTCATATTCCTTAGCACACGAGTTAATGATTGACTTCAGACGCCTCATTAATGACTCGCTGCTCGGAAATGGAACCAGCCCGTCCTCATCCGCCATTTTTTCCCTCGCCACTTTGGCATCCTCCGGGTCGTTGAAGCCATCCTCGTTGCCGATTCGAGGACCACGCTTCGGAACAAGACGAACAATTTTTTTCTTCGGCTTCTCAACGGCGGCAGCGGCTGGTGCACTGTCTTTCTCGTTGCTATTCTCGAAGTCATCATCCATCTTGTCCTCCGGCGTCCTTTCTGGTGACATATCCGAATCGTCGAGGCCATTGTCCGCAGAATCTTCACCCTTGACACTTTCCTTCTTCGAGGAACTGTCTCCGAGCTTGAGTCTCTTTCTTGGATGATGCGCACCACTTTCGTGACCAGCCTCCTCGTCCATGTCGTCGCTAATCTTCTCATCTTCATCCTCATCAGCGTCCTCATCGTCATCGTTGTCCTCCTCCGACCCATGCGATGCGTCGGTTGCTTTCAGTGCTTTCGTCGGAGTTCCATTCTTCTTTGCGTTTAACGCCTTCTTGTAGCGGCCATGAAAGCCGAGGTCGGGGTCGCTGCGAATCGCATCCGTCACTCCATAACCGTGTTTGAACGAGCCAAGAATTAAATCGGCATCATCGGCAGACGTCCAGTACAATGCAGGCGGCGGAGTAAAGACTCGGAGCTCGCCAGCACGCAAACGCTGAAGGGAAGGATGGTCGTGGACATCGCGCAAACGGCTGAGTAAACGAAGTTTCCTGGCCCAGCGAACGAATTTTCGCTTTTCGTCAGGCAGAGCGGTGCGCTTAGCTTCTACGACAAGTCGATTGACATCGGCGACGACGTCCTCCTCGGAAAGGTGCCTGCTGATGGGATCCTCCCTCAAGATCTCCATAAGAGCCTTCTGCTCGACACCTGGACGAGCGTGGACATAACATTTGGCGACAAATTCGCGTGCGACAGGAACGAGCTCAGACGGTTGACGCTCTCCCAATCGGCCATTTGTGATTGCGATGATATCTTCCCAGCGACCATAGCCCAGACGCATCATTTGAGCCCTGAGTGCAAGAAACTCTGCCTTGATCCAAGCACGTCGTTTTCTCTTCTTCGAGCTAGTTGGCATAGCCTGTTTGACCATCTCTGCCGGGAGGGTGAAAACGAGGACGCAGTCTGCGAGTTTGATGACGCTTTTCGAGACGAGAAGATGGGGTTTTGAATTAGGAGTGAGACGGATTTCAGTAGCATCGTCATCGGGTTCTGTAACTGTGAGACCGTTTCTACCTAAACAGTGAATATAAAATTGCTTCGTCTGCGAGTCAACTTCAATGCGGGCATGAGAGCGAGAGAGTTTGTTGGAAACGCCGAGACCGACGTTGACACCTTCCTTTGCAGGTTTGAAAGGATGTGTGGCGGTGGTGGCTTGATCAGATCGGCCCATGACCAAAACGGGTCTACGAATAATCTGCTTGAAGACGACATCCTTGTCAGGGAGGAAGACCTTTCCTTCGAGTTTGGCAAGCATTTTCGGTTTGGGCTTGCCAGCTCGCGCGGTGTTGGTAGAGA